TATTTGGTAAGATAGCATGAACTGAATGTGAAATATGTTCCAAAACTGCATTTCTCAGAGATGGGAATAAACTACCAAGTGTAGATGAATGTCCACTTGAAGCAATGCAACTTAGCCTGAATAAAGCACTTCACTATGCACATTTCTAATCTGAGATAGTACTCCGAGGATGGTTTCTAGATCTTCCTTTTATAACTCCACGTATTGTCATAGCAATACAATCATCAAATCGATCTCTGAGTTTTCACAATTAACAATGAATGATGAATAATCTATTCTAAGGTCACCACACACTTTGAAAGAAAAAAAAAAACAGCAACAGGAGGAAAAAAGATAATGACAAGCTCTGAATATTTCAGATATGGCTATCAATAACTCCCAATTTGCACCTGTAGCTTACTTTGTTTCTTAGGACTCAGCTAGACTGATAAAGAAAAAGCAATTTATGTGTGTTGTATGTGCGATATAACATTGTGCCACCAGATGGCAATGTAGAGTCTGGTTTTTCTCTACCTGTTTTCCCTGTTTAAATTTACAACGCTTTAAACTGAAACACTTCTTTGATGCATCTAGATCCAGCCTAGATCTGATTATTTGTTTCCTCCACAGCCACTGTACTGCTTGTCAGCTCTATAGACTGCCTCCCCTTCCAAATGTTATGATATCACTAGAACTAAGCCACTAGGAGAATCAAGGCAGAGATAGGTGACAGCCTGCCTTTATACCAACATGTATGATAATAATCTGATATTAATAACAGCAGGAGAGTGATATATGTTAAGGGGAATGCAAATAACTGCATAATAACTGACCATTGTGCACATTCACATTCACATGGAGAACGTGCACATAAGGCTTACATGAAAAAGGAATTATGCACATTTACCATTCAACAGGCCTGGGGTAAATGTGCATATCTCGTCTGAATTTTGTATAGTCTCCAGTCACTATGCAAAATTCCTAACAGGGTTTAAGGAATATGCATATAGTGGCTGAAATTTGTGCATTCTTTGTCCATCATGTGTGTCCTTTGAACCTGGTTCTGGCTGGCGGACCTCAGGGTTCAGGAAAGACAAGAAACAAAATAGATTGTGAAAGTTGGAAGTCTCCTTTTCTCCCCGCTTGCTATGGAAAAGGCAGAAATATATCATTGCTTCTGCAACATGTAATTTTCCTTGGGCTTTTTAGCATGTTCCTACTAAGTAGCTTCCTAGCCCTGGAAGCTGCTCCTTTTCTTTGGCTCTTTATTTTGTTTATACACCCCCATGTTACTGATTTCTTCATTCGGATGCCTGATTTCTTCCTTTGATGTGATGCTTTGCTTTAGCTTTGTCCTATATGGTCACACGTACTAAGCTTGCTTCCCATTTCTCTCACTCCTGATCCTGCACAGATTGCTCACGCACTTTTCCATGACACAGAATTAATTGGCGCAGCTTCCTTTCACCAGACAATACCTCCAACTGATGACAATCAGCTTTATCTCGTGTCTGTTGCCGGTTGGAATTGAACTGACAAAGATCAGCAGAATCCAAGCTTCATAAAGTTTGATGTGGGAAGCAACGAGAAAGGGCCGCGGGGAAATTGGTCTTAAAAACTCACAGCTGCTTCTGTGGAAAGAGTTGGAGATTTGTCCATGAAGAGACTCACCAGGGTACGTCCCAGTGGGACAAAATGGGAGAGTGGCATAAAGCCAGGAGTGACTAAATTTCTTAAAATGTTGTGGAGCAATTAATATTAGCTTTGTGGCAAATAGATTTTGAATTTCAGAGTTTTGAATGTCTGACTGGGGAATTAATTGACCTGCTGGGCTTGCAGTAGGAGGCCATCTATCCTGCAGCCCCTTACAGCACTGCTTATTTCATGGTACATATTCTAATTACAATGAATCTGCAGGTTTATGTGCTATTATATTATCCATGAAAGTAACTATATGCAACAAAGTTTTGATTTTTCATAATAGTCTATAACTGAGAATGTCTGTTCCATTTTCTTTTCTTTCTTTCTTTCTTTCTTTCTTTCTTTCTTTCTTTCTTTCTTATATTATGGTCAAGATATACACTTAAGGCTTGAGCGGAAAATGTTTGTCTCCAAAGCTGATGTTATTCAAGCCTTGGCCACATCTTTTATTTTATTGTCTTTCCAAATCTCATGCATGCAAATGTGTTACTCCCTTCAGAAGTAATTTCATTCATAGCCCCGAATACACTGCTAGCAATTTATTTGCATCCCTGGGGTCTTAGAACTAAAGAGATGTCCCGTCACTAAAGCATGGAGCTTAGCAGGTTACAAAAAATAAAATAAAAAATGTCAGCCTCTAGGACTACTATGAATTTTGCAAGTTCGGGTTTCAAACAGAATGTGTGGTTTCACAGAAACCAATTTGCCTGTGTATTTTTTTTTTATTCTACTTTGCTGATTCCATGCTTGATTCATCAAACCTTTATTTCTTGGTCTATTGCTTAAAAAAAAAAGTCCTGAAGCCTCTTCTGCTTCTGAAAAGAGATGCACCTGCGCCTCTGTTTTCCACTGCAGAGTAGTACTTTCTGTTTGAAGATTTCCCTGTAAGATCTTGCAAAAATCCCAGCCACTGCTAACTTGGCATTGTTCTAATTAGAAGACCAAGTGTGAGATTTTTTTGATCTCTAATAAACAGTGCATCAGAATGCAAACCACCACCAGTTTGTCTCCCACAAGCCAACTCCCATTCTTAGGTGGTAGAAGGCCTTCTTTCTCCAGTTCCAGGATTCTTCTCCTCAATAGCTAATCAAAGATGATATTCTTTGAAACAGACAAAAATGCAGGGAGCCATGTTGTCCCATGAGAAATCTGAACATTCTGCCACTTAAGGATGGGAGTTAGCCTGTGTGAGAACTCTAGAGCCAATAAGTAATACTGTGGTACCTTGGGTTACAGATGCTTCAGGTTACAGACTCCACTAACCCAGAAATAGTACCTTGAGTTACTTTGCTTCAGAATGAGAACAGAAATCGTGTTCCAGCGGCGCGGTGGCAGCGGTAGGTCCCATTAGCTAAAATGGTGCTTCAGGTTAAGAACAGTTTCAGGTTAAGAACAGACCTCCAAAATGAATTAAGTTCTTAACCCGAGGTACCACTGTACTCCTCAATAGTATCTGAAGTATCTGAAGAAGTGTGCATGCACACGAAAGCTCATACCAATAACTAACTTAGTTGGTCTCTAAGGTGCTATTAGAAGGATTTTTTTTTTTTTACTTTGTTTCGACTCTTCAATAAGGCATTCATCGTTTCTTTACTGGGTTCACCATCTAAAATTTATCTCGTGCTGTGTTGATATGACTTGCACATTTTTGTTTACTTTTGGTCTCTGCCTTACAGGGAACCCACATGCTAGACAAGAGGTGGGGAACCTGTAGCCCTGCATTTATCAGAATACAAACTACAGAGACAGAAGGATGCCTGTCTGCAAAACCTTTCAAGAGGAGCAGGCCCATTGCCATCACCCAGAACGCCAGGGCATAACGCTAGGGTCCATGGGTTCCATAGGGGTCCACCAGGGCTGACACCAGGATTATTGTTATTACTTTTTAATTCAATATATTAAAGATCTGGCAATTAAAGGAGAAGTACTAAGCCAGGCAGATGCAACAGCTGAGATCTTTCCTTCCTCACCCCCAAAATGCTTCTGGGCTAGAGGCACTTGGAGAAAATAAGATGGTAATCACATTAGCCAGCTGACCTGGTGCTTTTCCTTTCAATGCTCCTGTGAAAGGAAATTTATGCCCATTGATAAATCATTGTCCCCATGCATGCTAAGTTTCTAGAGGGGTCCAAGGGGTACTCCATCTCCAAAATCAGCAACCTGTGTCTTCCCAGCAAACTTGCCAGGGAGAGGGGACAGTTAGGAATCTTTCTAGGCTGATATGACGTTTCTCCTCTGACCTAGATGGAAAAGTACTGGGATGTATGTTGCCTGCTCCCTGCCACAGAGTAAGCTTTCTGTAGGGGTGTTACCAGGATTGGTGCTTCTAGGAGGTCCCATTCCAGAAAGTTAAAGATACTTAAGGGGCACAGAGGGCTATTGGGGGAAGAGAGAAAACAATCACACCTCCTCTTGTTTTGCTGGTGGAAGCATCCTGTGATTCTCCAAGGCAATGTTTGGCCTCAATATGGAATCATCATGGTTCACAGATAAAGAAACTACTAGGGAGTTGGGAATGTTGCAGCCCTGCATACACAAGCTTGGCTGGTACCTGCAATGTTTTTGTGTCTTTAATGAGCCATCATTCAAATGGATCTTTGATTATTCCTGTAGCTCTCTGTGTGTGATGATTTGTGATATCAGAGAGGACCAGAAATCATTTTAAATATTTTTGTTACAGTGCCATTCAAATCAGCCATGGGGGGGGGGGGGGGACAAGTAACATGCTCTGCTGGCTACTCACTATCCCAATCAGAAGAGAGCACTTTAGGAGGTCCCCTTATATTTGCACCAGCTGTGTGTGCCTTAATTTAAAAGTAATTTCAAATGCTTAATTCGGTCACTTCATTTTGAAAAGAGGACTTTTAATAATGAAATACACGCACACCTGCTACAATGTAAATACGTCCCCTTGGTCTGAAGATTTTTTTAAATATATATTTAAATAGTCCTTTTTATTAAATTTGAAATGTCCAAATCACCAAATCATAGTCAGTTGCATGGAAAAGTAGTTTTGCAGGATTGCTTTCCTGCAATCTTATCTCACAGCTGCAGAATGTCCGTTGATAATGCTGCCTTCATGTTAGACAAGCAATCAAATAATTTGATTGTTCTGTGCGTCAGAGCTATGCTTTAAAAATTAAGACTGCTTTGTGTCTTGTGGTGTGACAAAGTCCTTCATTTTATTTGTTGGCAAGTTTTGAAAGCTCTGGCTTTCGCAATATTCCCTTCCTCCTCCCGCCCCATCTTCACACAACCAATTGATTCAATGTGTTTCCTATATTGAATTATTCACACCTTTATCCTACTGTGAACTCCTTTCAATGTTCTTCAAGCAGGCCAGCTGATAGTATCATTTCTGTCTGGAAAGAAAGGGGAAAATATGGGTGAATTTGACCCATCTAGTAGAACAAACATGTAGAATCCTGTTATTCAGAATATGCCTTGAGTGGCTGTGTTTCCACTATGCCACATGCAAGCACATTTAGAAGAACCAGTAACCACAGAATAATTAAAGGGATTTCACACCTCATGCTGAGATCTTTTAGAAGAGATCTTTGAGAGCTAAAGATTGAAACAGTGTAATGTTGGCTACTTCAACAGTTCTACTGTTTCTTTTAAATGGCTGCTGAGGACATTTAACTGCTCAGTGACCCTTAATAGTGTAATGGTTGTTTATACTGGTTCCCCTTAAATCAGGTTGGAGAATTGTAGGACGTGGTTCTCTAACTTCTCTGTTGGTCCTTTGGGTTCCTTCCCTCCTCATTCCTGACCTACGTCCTCTCCAAATGTTTTTCTGATTAGAATGTGCTCTTGAACAGTGATAGTGTTTCTTGTTTGTCTGGATACAGATGTGTGGGGTAAAGGTAAGAGTCACACCATTCCTCCAACCTCTGGCACCTGCCCACCATGGACCTGTAGTCTCCAGAAGGTTCACCATCTGGAATGCAGCCATGGTGTAGTGGTTAAGAGTGGTAGTCTCGTAATCTGGTGAACCGGGTTCGCGTCTCCGCTCCTCCATATGCAGCTGCTGGGTGACCTTGGGCTAGTCACACTTCTCTGAAGTCTCTCAGCCCCACTCACCTCACAGAGTGTTTGTTGTGGGGGAGGAAGGGAAAGGAGAATGTTAGCCGCTTTGAGACTCCTTCGGGCAGTGATAAAGCGGGATATCAAATCCAAACTCCTCTTCTTCTTCTTCTACAACAACCTGATCCCTACCCTTGCTTTAAAGGATCACTGGTAGGTAAATAAGAACCATAGAGGTTTGTAGAGTTCGAAAGGAACCCAAGGGTCATCTACTCCAGCTCCTTGCAATGCAGGAATCTCAAATAAAGCACCCATGACAGATGGCCATCCAACCTCTGCTTAAAAACTCCAACTGAAGGAGAGCACACCACCTCCTGAGGTATTCTGGACCTAGTAACATACAGCAACATCCCTTACAATCCTACCATTTTACAATATTGAGAACCCTAGAGCAAAGCACCTGCTCATTTGTAACTAAAGGAAGTTGCCTTGGGTTGGCAACATTCACTACGCTGGGCCAGTAACCAGAACAAAAGCCCCATTAGTTCCATGGATGGGGCAATAATTATATTAATGTGCAGGTGAACTCACCAAAGAAAGAAGGGGGGTTAAATTATTTAGGTAATTCAGGTAGGCTGAAGTTTTGTGAAGAGACTCAGCATGTGCATTTTTAAAAAGGAACACAGTATGATCCTAGGGATGAGTGAAAAACATGTTTGTTCCATGCTGTGTGTTCTGGCATGAAGGAAGCTTTATGGAAAAGAGTACAGAAAGCAACAAGGTAGACTGTGAAACTTGCAAGTTACTTTTATGTGTGTCTTCTGATGGCAAGGTAAGAGGAGCCAGGAAACTATTATACACACAATCTTGGCTTGATAAGGGTTCACAATGTTATTTTCCAAATCTTTTAAAGGACACCAGAATTCATCTAAAAAACTAAGGCAGGGGCAAAAAGTCACACACACCAACTCCATTTCCATGCCTTGTACCAAAGACGTAGGATGGGGAAGCTGAGGCCTTGCAGACCTTGCTGGACTACAATTCCCATCATACCTCACCATTCCCAGTCTGGCCGGGGCTGATGGGAGTGAAAGCCACAGGTTCCCTGCCAGTCACATGGACTGAGCGTAGGTGGAAGATGGTAGCAGAAAAGTGGCTCTCAGTCAGTGCAGTAAGTTCTCCTCAGTCTCACACTTCAGTAGTCCTTGAGTTAAGGAACAGGATATTAAATAATGTCTGGTGGCAGCCAAGAACAAATGTATGTTCAAAGAGGCAAATAGTATACTATTATGTCTCATTTTTTAAAACAATCTGCACACATTTCCAAAGAAATGCTAGGAATTCTTGTTTTATTTATTTTTGCTTTCTGTCAGTATTTGTTTCTGATCTCCCAGCATTGTGTGTTGACAAATTAACTGATTGCAACCATTGTTGTTGGTGTCAAATTAGCTGATTTGTTGATGTTATATAGTAATGCTAGTTTGCAAGCAAACAGGAGTGAGTGATTTTCACCTCACTTTCCAATTTGCACTTTCTGTGGTCGCCTTTACAAACTGCTTTCCGAGCTGTATTCTTGTTTGTTTGTTTGTTTGTTTGTTTGTTTTAGAAAACAGAAACGGTATTAATTTACAAATCATGAAGGAAAGTTACCAACGACATTAATTAGCTGGCACATCTGCCGTGAAGGTGTTTCCGCAAGCCTTGTCTTAAGTATTCTCCAGCCTCTTCCATTTTGGGGATCAATGCTAATTTCCAGCGCTTACTAGCAATCATAGATGACTAGCAGTTAAAAAACCATCAGCCCTGTCACGTTTTTCAGTGAACAGAATCCCTTTCCAGATGGCCCATCATTTGCATAATGGACAGCCTGAGGGGATAAAAATGTCACCTGTTGAAGTGAGTCGCTAGTATTAATATAAACCGCTATTCATGAAGTGGACAGGAACCTGAGAACAGCACTATGGATTTATAGTGCAGTCATTAGCCTTTATTTATTTATTTATTTATTTATTGGCAGCACTTTGTGCTTCCCAGTTTATATAGAAGGAAATACTATGCTGTATTATTCCCTTATCTTTTTGGCAACATGTGCTGCTTCTCCATCAATCAGGCTAATGATAGGATATACAATGTGTATATTATGTAAAATGTGACAGCTAAAATGTTTAGAGATGCCACTATACAAATCAGCAAATGTGTGTGTTACATACAATATGAAATTCAGACTAGTTCATGAGCAGAGCTACAGAAAAAAGAAAAAAAAAACCAATTTGCGAACACACTCTGATGTAAAAATGCTTTATGGGCTAATCAAGGCACATAGATGTGGCAGGAATTGGATGAAACCCTTTCCAGATCTCTGGTACTACTACTAAAAATAACTCATGAAAAACACTTCTGTTATTGTATGAAACCAAACATAGGGTGATTCTACACCAGCACTTTTTCTCTGGAATTTCCACTTTCTCTTTCTCATTTCACAGAAATTCCAGATGGCATTGTTTGCCCATTGTTGACTTCCAGGTATACTGAGCGGGGCCATTGGTCCAACTAAATACATGTTGTCCATGACATCTGGAAGCATCTGAAAACCAGCTTTTCTTTTTTAAGAATAATTTTTTTATTAACCGACCAATCACATCAAATCAAACCAAATTACATAAATTCCAAATTACACAGCCGAATTTTAAATTTTTGTTGGGGGTACCCATATAACAAGTTCCGAAGGGATCCAATCAACTTCTTGCTTCTTACTGCTGTTTTAATGTCCACAAATCTAACCTTATGATGTTCACAGTACTATCCAGTCCTTTCTTATTATTTTTCCACATCTCTTGTTGTTATTTTCATATATTTTTCCTTTCTCTTTGTGACCTCTGATAGTCTCCGCAAGCTGGTTAGAACAGTTTGTAATCATGCGTGGATATTATTTTTTTTATCCAGTAGCCATATCCAGACGTTTTCCATATAACATCACTTCCATACATCAAAACAGTCTTAGCGTCATTAATCTTCACCAATCTGCCTCCTTTCTCAAAACCTCTGAGGAGATTCACTAGGAATGCAGTCTGAAAACAAATCCATTCTTCCTCCCGGCTATAAGTTCTTTGGCAAGATGGCGACTCCGAATTAATTGCTGCGCCATTCCCAAAAGCTCTTATTGCTTCTCGGTCTCCATAAAGCATACTTTTGGTTAAAGTTTATCTCCACACAGACCTTAATCATCTTGCTTGGGTCAGTTCAACCGACGGTTCTAATGAGGAGGGGTTCTTGTAAATCACATAGAAGGAAAGTAAAAAAGGTTCCCCCCCATTCAGTCCCGTTGTCAACATACCCCGCCTTTGGTGTATCTTCATCGTAAAATATTCCTGTTTCTCCAGCCCGTCGTCTTCTTTCGTAGAGGTCACTTAAATTAGCAGACTTCACTCCCCTTCTTCACTTGAAATATGTGCATTTGCTTCTTTTGTAATTAATTATTCCAAATTGCTGCAACTAGTGCGTGATCAGAGACAGCATCCAGGAGAGCCGAGGTCCACATGGGGGCATTCTGCCTAGGGCCCTCACCCCCTTCTTTTGAATTAGGGGGTGATTTATGGGCACAGCAGGCAAGGGCAGTGTTCCCCATTTCCTTGGGGCAACAAGGGAGGCTGCCTACTCCCATAACAGCCTCTTAATTACCCCATGTGGGTCGGAGAGATGGTATTGTCGGCCATCTTCCAATGCGCCCCCTAGTGGCCCCCCTGAAAACCAGGTTTTCAGACGGGAATGTTTTGACAAATTTCCTTAAAAATAGCTCAAAACAACTGTCCGGATTTTCACTTTTTGAAATATCACAACCCTACTCTGAAGCACTATTAAGAAATTTCTAGGTGTTTCCTTTTTGAAGGCTCAGTTGAGCAGGTATTTATTACCATTGATACATGTGAGACTACAATTCCAACTATGATCGGAAGGCTCAATGGCAGTTCATCTGCTTTGAATGCAGAAGGCCCCATGTCAGTCCCTGGCATATCCAGATAGGACTAGAAAAGACTCACTAACTTAGAGAGTCACTACTAGTCAATATAGGCAGTACTGAGCTAGGTAGGGCAATGGCCTGACTGATTATGATGATATTCTACCCATCTGACTAGGTTGCCCCAGTCGCTCTGGGTGGCTTCTATGCTTGTATGATAATTATTGACTTGCTTTAGGATTTACACCATACGTTTCCTAAAGAATAGTTCAGGGCATCACACAACCATGCTATCAAAGCAAGAAACATTAAAAATTCCAGTTACCAAGTAGAAGCAGCATAAAACAGAAGGATAAAATGTAATCTATCACAGTATAGATCTGTAAAAGTAGCATCAGAAAACAAAGCAATAAATGTGACCTGTACTTCAGCACAGAAGCATAAAACTATCTCAGCTAGCTATTGAAAATTTTGTTACAGGCCAAAAGGTCTTCTACAAAGAGTGATATTTGCCCTCAGCCAAAATGTCATATTGGAGGGAGCTCTAGGGAACTGGGATGACTATAGAGGAGGACTTTTCCTGGTCACCTCTACTGCAACTAGAACACTAAAGCAATGGTTCTAAGCAGTTTCCTGGAAGTAAGTGCCACTGAGCCCACCTCCAACTGAATGTTGCCATGATTGAGATGTTGGGTGGATCAGGCCAAGCCAAGAAATATTGCTGCCTGAAGTGAAGGGCAAGATGTCATTTCTCCAATTTCCTGTACAGGAGCCAGTTGGGCAGCTAATTGAATCGTAGAGCATCCAGCACTGTATCTGAGGGTGCCAGGTTAGCTTAGGTGGCAAAGGGGCAGATTAGGTGTGGCACACACAGCTCTGTCATTCAACACGTCTCCAGCACTTTCAGCCCCCACCATCTGCTACCTGAGGCAGCTGAATCATTGTGTCTAATAGCAGGGCTGGCCCTGACAAGATGCTTTAAAAATATAGTATTGTAATATTTGAGTCTTTATGTATGCTATCTGAAGATAAAGATTTCTTTGAAAGGCACTAGATCATATACATCAAGCACATAATACTGTTGAATTTTATGGACAGCCATATCTACAACAAAGGTGCTGAGTGCCCCAAATGATATTCAAGAGATTTACCAGAAAAGACTTTGAACTATTTATAATAGATCCATTTTAATACTATAAATAGTTCAGTGCTTCTCCCAGTTTTGAGCAGATATCCATAAAACAGCACATTTTCTCTCGTCTTTGGAGCTATATTTATTCATCTCTGTGCTCTGGGAACACCACCCTTTTCTTCTTCACTATTTTCAGCTCAGCTTAATGCTTCTGTAGTCTTTCCCATCTCATTTCTCTCCTCCTCTTGGGCTGACCCTCTTGAGAAATGCAGAACCCTTTTTATCCCCACATAATGAGTTACTTAGGTTTCTTTCCATTTCTTTCTATCCTCATGGCCACCTCCATCATCTCTTTTGTGTTTCTCGTTATCCATTTGTTTTTGTGGTGAATTTTTTTAATCATTCAGTGATGATGTTGTTTTCATTACCTTGTGTGACACTCACTTTTTCTCTTCGTTTGTCAATGAATTCCCAAGCTTCTGCCCTTGCGTGTAGAAGATATATGTGCTGTATACTCTTCCTTTCAGGTAATGTGTAGAGTGGTCCTCAAAATATTTTCAGGACTGTGAGCATGCTGCCCAAGCCCATTTAGTTTTCTAATCAATCTTTGCACCCAAATTCAGAGACAAAGGAAGTTTCACTTCATCCTTCAATTGCTTGTGATAACGGTGCAAGAGGGGACACTTTGGGGTTAGCCTAATGGGGTGGGGAATACTTTAAGGACAACAAGCCAGGGAAAGTTTGTATCAGCCATGCTCTCCAAGGCCTGCTCCACATGCTACAGGTTAAATTTTAGAGCCCTGCCTTTTGTATACCCTAAAACAGTATGGGAATAGAGACATAGATATCACCTCTTAGCCCATGTCCCTATGCACATAAAATAGGGATAAGGATTTGTCAGCAAATCACCTGGAGGTCTGGGCTCTTGACATGTTGGAAATACCTTAATTATTTTTATAGAGGTTGCTCCTGTTATGAATGTGATATTGTACCGGATAATCTGGAATATAGTTAATATGTTTGAAATTTAGTAAATTGTAAGAATTTTATGAAATCAGTAGATTTCGTAAAGCTACACATCTATGACTCCTCAGTAAATAGAAATCTTTCTATGCAGTGACAAATGAAATTATTCAGCATACAAGAAGATGTGTAAGAAAAGCTTCCATGGCATTCTTTTGAGTTAGCTTCAGAACAACATTCCAGGTTTACACACACCTTGTCTAAGGACCCTCATGATCTGAGTCTATATTCCTTTCCTGCAGACACTGATTTTGTACAAAGTTTTGTGCAACTGGAAACTTCAAGGGCCGGCTAACTTGTAACCATGTGTGCATGTTGTTAAGAGAGAGAGAAAGACATATGCGTATACTGTATATATATTGTGATAATAGCTTTATTGTGAGATACAGGCAGAACTATGTGTATTTCCTCATTCTATGCAAGGTAGAAAAACAAAACATGTTTCCTATAACTTTCTCTTTTCATATGGAATTTTTGTTAACCCTTATTATTCCGCGGAGAGGTTTAAAAGAGTGTGTGGACAAGCTCAAATTAAATGAATAAATAAGGCTTCAAATGTTCAAGGGACAAGATTCAGTGTCCTGTAAAGAGCTTTGCTATCCCCATGACTATTAGAAGCAGAATACATTAGGCAAAATAAAAATATGCAAATGTGATTTATTTGCATAATTTATACAAGTCCCAGAATTCTACTTTCCTTAATGCAGAAATTTGTCTCTTGTGGCATTTGTTTTGTTTGGGCATGGAGTACATTGGATACTGGTGTATAAAAATGGTAAAGTTAACAGACGATAGTTGTTTGCGCTATATGGAAGTCTGTTTTACTGCCCAAAGCTTAAACTAGTGGTGTGCCTTTTTGCTTATAGCAAAGTTCTACAAATACTTTGTCAGGGGTGGGGAATTTCCAGTCTAAGGACTAATACTGGCATTCCCAAGAGGTCAAATTTGGCCCACAGAGTTATATAAACAATGACGGCACACACCTGCCAATCAGCTGATATCACTCTGATGCCAGCTGATGGGGCGGCGTTTTATTTTGCATTGATTTGGTGTGCCAGTTCCCTGCCAGGGACAGGTGCAGGCAGACAAAGCACAGTGTGGGCCTGTTTGAAAGTGCTTTTGCAGACAGCCCTGCCCTACTGTTTAAATCTGCAGTCTTTGGAGGTTCAAAGAGTACCACAAGGCTGTTTGAAAAAGGGCTTTCACGCAGCTCTGCTCTTTGAACCTCTGGAAACTGTTTCAATGTAATTTGCTGAAATCTGATCCAATGTAATTTCCCAGTAGCGGATTGCTCAGTCCATAGAGCACCAGACTCTTAATCTCAGGGTCATGGATCCGAGCTCTACACTGGGCAAAAAGATTCCTGTGTTGCAGGGAGTTGGACTCGATAACCATCAGGATCCTTTCCAATGCTACAATTCTATGAGAAGATTCTGGAATGCAGGGTTGTTAAGAACTCTAGAAGCGCAAGCATTTAGTTTCAAGGCAACTTTGATACATCTTGCTTTCTGTTATGAAACTGCACAAACCCATTTTCATTACCAAACAAGGTAGCTCATACATCATGAAAGATTGTGAGAGATGAAACCAGTTCATGTGACATAAATTAGGAAGAAATGTGTTGCAAATGCCAGATGCTGTAAATAGAAAAATATTCATGTGTTGCACAGGCTTGTAATCAAAGCTATCTAAATTATAGGAAATGGTGTGTGGGTAGCAATCGTCTGTTGCTATTTTTAAGCAGGCAAAATTAGGTGAAACATCTTGAAAGCAGGAGTATAAAGAGAGATTAGTCTGCAGTATTCCTACCTCCTTACAAAGACATACCTATGTTAACTGGATCCGCCAAGACTTGTCAAGAGATAGAGGCATGCATCCCTTAACTGTATGCCAACAGCTATGCTTACAAGCTTTAAATTAAAGCAGAAAAAAATCTGGAGGATGGAAATGTATTGACTTGGTATCACTGAGAAGGCAGATGCCACTGGATCAATGCTAAACTCCGACTCTGACAGAGCTGTAATGGAGGGCTTTTCACAGAGCCATCACTTTGTTGCGTCCTAAGCAATGGTGTGGAACAGTTACTGGAAATGGGATGTGTATGTATGAACTCTACGATCTGTGACCTGATAAAATGAGAAAAATAGATGGACATGCCCCTGAGTAAAATAACAAATCTAACTGGACAGAGATTCATGGTGGAAACACCTCTGGAAATAATAGCTATTTCTAAGTGTGTTTTAAAGAGTTGACTCAATTGTAATTCATGACAAAATTAATAGCCATTCAAGGCTATATTTTGGTTTAAGGAAAATACATGTTTGTGAGTGGTACGGTAAACTCCAATGCTGACAAACCTTACTCACCAAACAGTTTACATCCAGTAGGGAAAGCGTGTTCTCCTTCATGGAGAGCACGTGTTGCGCTGGGGGCGGGCAAGACACCCACTGTTGCTAGGCGGAGAGAGTTTGGCCACCATTAACATTAAGCTTCCTGTTGCCGGGGAGATTTAAATGTTGCTATTTTGTGATTGACAGCCATAGCTCTTAAATACCCTGAGCGCAGCGTTGAGCTTCCTCTTTTCACTGCATGCATCAGAACACCCGCCCTCCCTCCCTGTTTTCAGGTTGTTCGCTTGACCTTGCTATGCCTGTCATGGGGTCATCTGCTTTTGGGGCAGGGGCCCGGTAGGAATTTTGTCCATTTGGCTGATTAGTGGGTGCCATTTGATTTTTGCCTACTGCGTAGCAAATCGTCACAACTTGTAAGGTTGTGGTTAGGCATTGGTTTTGGAATTGGTTGGTGGAGGGGTATGGATTGGCTGTGCCTGCCCCTCCAAAGTGCTGCTGCTGCAGGGGTTTTCCGTTAAAGGAACCCGGGGGCTCGCCATGCTTTTGTCTGAACCGTGTCAAGGGGTTAGGGCCACGCAAGAACCCCTGGGAGCATTTGGGGAGAGGTGAGGCATGATTCCCAGTCCCGTCTCTCTCCCCAAAATGTTTTCCCCTTTCTGACTTCGTGGGCGTGCAATGTCAGACTGTCCCCGTGCGGGGTCAGATAGTCGCAACCAATGCCTAAGCAACCACTCACATCGATTGTAATTTTAATAAAGTTGTGGCCAAAATTATGACAAAAATCTTAAACAAAAATTATGTGTCAATTGTGTTTTATTTGGGGTGTCTTGGGGACCTTGACACACAACTTTTAGGCAGCATGAGACAGGTGGCTCAGGTTTGCGGTGCCATGCAAGGGTAATAAATTGTTATTATTAATGTGTTTTTTACCGCCAGGGATAGGGAGAGGTGCTTGTGGGGTTTTCTGCTTTAGATGCCAAAATATCTTCAATAGTTCAATCCCCAATGGCATGTTCAGGCAGGGCTGGGAGAGCCCCCTATTTGAAATTCCACGGAGCACTGCCAGTCAGCTAGATGAACCACTAGGTGTGACTCAGTATAACAGAGCCCATGTGGTGTGGTAGTCAGAGTGTCAACTAGACCTGAGAGAGCAGGATTCAAATCCCTACTCAGTCATGAAGCTCTCAGTGGGTGACCTTGGGCCAGTCCCTGCCTCTTGGCTTCACCTACCTCACAGGGTTGTTGGGGAATAAATGACAACCATGGATTCCACCTTGGAGAAAAAGGTGGGATATAAATGTGATTGATAGGTAGGTAGGTAGGTAGGTAGATCTCATTCGCCAGTACTGAATGGTCTGTGGTATCATTGATGCAATTGCCTCTGCATAATTGTCCCTCTGCCCCCAGACATTATGTTTCTGCAGAAAAAAACACTTGGTATTATACCAATAAAATGGAAGTGCATCTTTGAATAATAGTTCTAATTTATTAATGTAATTGTCCTTAGAAGTATTCCCCCTCCAAGCAAAGCAAGAGTTCAGAATGCCATTTATTTTTTAACATACTCTGAATGCAACACAGCAAACTGCTAGCAGAATGAATGCTATAGTTGCCAATTTGAAAAAGAAAAGCCACTGAGCATGTTGCTATGATGCTTTTTATGTGCACAATATCAAATAAAGCCACAATTTTATTTAGGCACTTACAATTATGCACAATGACTATTTTTATCCAAAGTTGTTTTCATAATGAATCCCTATTCCCTTATTTTCAAATTGGCTTTAGCAGAACAGAGTGATTATAAAGCATATTAATCTTCATTTTTCACACTGAGATTCATTTCCTGAGGCTGGAAACAACAACAACTAAAACCATCAGCATCTAGGATACATGAATGTAATGTAGATTGAAAACCAAGCACAAGGAATTAGTTAGCGGCTCTAGTGCCTTGTTGATTTCTCAGTAAATAGACTTAGATTGATGAATGGGATGGGGCGAGGGAACCAAGCAGGTAAGCTAGATAGCCAGAGTGAAGATACTTTGCAAAACAATAAATGAATTCCACTCCCTCCCACCCACATTTATTAGGGGAGGAAATCAACATAAACTGTCTACTGTCATTGTCATCCTAGGGTGAAAGTTCATATGGGAAACTTATGCTGGTCATAGGGAATCATTTATATTGCCATTTAGAGACAGACCAGTAGTTGAGACTAATTCCCTCTGCTGCCTACCATCCTGTCTACAAGGGGGAATTCACCTTGCACACACTGGAAGCAGACCCCAGCCCAGAGAGACTTACTAAGCCTTTCTTCATTTACCCAGTTATTTCAAAATTGAAGCCAACCTGGTCAATAATAGGAAAAAGGCATTCTATGTGTGTAGGCAGAGCTTCATATTGGTTCAAACATGAAACAACACTGCTGAATTTCCCCACCACATCGCCTTTCTCCCCTCCAAGTTCTTTCCTTGGAAGACTCAAAGCAGAATCTCTAAGACTACCCTGTGAGGTAGAGCCATTTTTCCTGTAATAACAGTAAAGGTATGTCAGTAATTTTGATCCAGGAAGTATTGAAATGGTTCATGTGCCTAGATAACCCTAAGTCACTATGGTATGTTATCGGCTTTTAAGACTATTAAGTTTCCTATCAGGGAATTAGATGTGGAGGGATGGGACTCTCGCTCGGAAGCATCTTGTTCTCCAATTTCGGAAAGATCCCAAAGGATGTTTTTGGGTAATTGCTTATTCACTCTCAGAGCTTTTTGCTTGTTATCAAATAAATAAATGAGCAAAAGTCAGAGAAGAAATTACTGAGACATGGGGAGATGCTAGTTTCTAAGTGGTTAGCACTTAGAAAATGGGTAGTGTGGCTGGCAAGGATTTTGTTTCTTGTACAGTATATAGGAAAATGGGCATAAGTCTTTATATAAACTCAAGGCCAAGGCAGCTGTAAAGTTGGACAGTTCCTCTTTTCAAATATAGCTTAGAAAATATACTGGGTGTTTTCCCCAGTCATTAACACACTCTACACTGCACTTAATAAACAAAACCTGGAAACACAAACCGTGGGGTTGAGCAGAAGGTAGGTATGTGTAGCATTTTTGCCGCTTGGGAGGAATGTGTGTGAGAGAGTCTGTTTTCTCATTTTCCAAAAAAAATTCACAGGGGTGTTATATTGTCATGGAGTTTTGACTTTATTCATAGAGCAGGGATTTCCCCACAATACTGAACTAAAGAGGTCTTGGAGAGCATTTTTCTGAGGTAATATCAGAATGTTAGCTACTATATTGAGTAGCCACTCTTTCTGAGAAAGTCATCCGCTAAGGTTGTCCTGCCAACTTTGCAAGTGTACTACATTTGTACAGTCTCCACTGCTTTCTACAGGATGTCATGAGTGCCATGGAATTGTTATGGAGGGAGTTGGAGCAGGACTACCATGAAGAGCATCCTAGCAGGATAGGGGAGGGGATATCAGGACGCCAAATATCTGGTCCCAGCGAGAAGGCCAGTAGTCTAAGGATTGGAGAGCTAGATCCAGGGGGTGGACCAAATTGACTGGCAGAGGAGGTAACTCCTGGTGTGAAGCTATCTCCTGTCAATGAGGAGCCTCCTCCTTCTGGGAAAGTGACTGAGAGTAAATTGGACTGAGAGTAAAATGGATACTGAGCTAGCATTGACACTGCCTGTGTCTCAGAGGACATGGAGACATCAGCACAGGTGCAGACAAAGCTTGCAGACCAAAGCCACTTGAAGGAATGCCTATTTTTGCTTGTCCAGGTTGACTGGCACTAAATTATATAATACACTATAGTTTTGTGTGAGAGAGTGGGGGTTGACATCTTAGATTCACCCCTAGGTATGCACTTAAAAACAATCTCTACCCAGCCTAGTACTTTGCCATTATGCAAACATAACCCTGTGTGGAGCTGAGGTTTTTTATATAGCCACATAACAAGCTCCTTGAAATGAGGACTGCAGCAGTATATCCTATCTTGAAATTCCAAACTGTTATTGCACACATTAAATCCAATCATGTAACAATCCTAAAACATTATTAGTACCCAATGATGTGGAGTCAAGTGCTTATAGAAATGGCCTCTTAAGTAGAGTACAAAGAAAACAACACCCTGAGAGAGATTTCTGACAGAGGACAGCGTATTAAAATGCTATGAGATGATATCCCAGCTTAGGTTTAAAGAATTAATGAAGAACAAATGTTCCAACTGACATGTAAGCATGAAATTCTCTCTGTGGGTTGACCTTCATTCTTCTGCAGTTAGCTAATGAGGGTTTTCTTTGTTATCTATCTTGCTGGAGGACCTCTGGGCCTTGTATCATTATTGAATGAGCACAATGTCACCTCAGCTGGCAGAAATGTTTTGTCTTTTGTCAGGGAGCGAAGTTTCCTTATGCCAGCCAGTGAAAAGCATAATACAGCAACAGGCAATTGAGATCAGACATTTCAATTCAGCTAAGTTAGCCCCGTGGAGATGTTTAACCTGCTGCTGTTGTTTAGATCAGAATATTTACGCTTGCTTGTTATATGACTCTTGTAGCTACTTCTGGAGTTTGAAAAGGGCTGTTATAAATTAATGATCAGCCAAAGCAATTTATCTTGAGATCTGCTCACCACATTCCCTTTTAGCAGTTAATTATCATCAGTGGACTGAACTGTATATATTTGGAAAATGAATACTTGCAGAGCAGCTGCTTTTTATCTTATTCATAATGGCAAGTATATTGTATCTATCAGCGATACTTAGAGTTGGGAAAAACACATCTGCTCAGGGAGAAATCTAGAGACCTTGTAAAGTGCATTGTTAAACAGTTTGACATGCGAGGGCACACCCCAACATACTTTGATAGCAGACATGTAAGCTTTGCAGACATGTAAGAGATTTCTATGATTTTGTATTTCGTTTGTTTTCAAAATGGTACAGTGCTTGCCTTCAGCTGTTGTAAAATCTGTTCTGGAAAGATAAATAAAATATTGGGGAAACATATTGGTCCAAAAAACTCTGTTGAATGCTTGCATGTATTAGTACACATATTGCTGGCTTCTCGGTTCTTGATGATCCCTACAATCTCAAGCCCTTTCTCAGGAGGCAGATACCGTCATCCATACCCTCTTGTAGGGAGCAATGTGACACCAGCATGAAGATCCCTCACACATAAGGGTTTCCTCCTTCCCTGAATTGCAAGGGGCAACGTGTCACCTCTTCTTTACCATTTCCAAAGACTTCTAAATCTGAATCAGACATGACAGAGGTTAGGCCTCCTACGTGGCTGAAAAGCCTTTATGCTGGAATGCAAAAGACTCCCAATAAAGCAAGAGTTCTGCAGATTTTCCCAAAGCTGTAAAGGTTCCCCCCAGTTGGGATGTCTCTTTGCAGAGAGCACACCTGAAGAAATTTAACAACCAAGTTGATTCTTCCTTACTTTTCACAGTTTAGTTATAAAAAATATATTCTGTCATATGTTAATAAAACAGGATAAGACCAGAGTGGCCAAAAGTAAGTAAAGATGGCTGAAATATAATTAATTAATTCATTCATTCCCCAATCATAGCAATAAAACAAGCAGGCAGAGCGCTTTTGTTGTTGTTTAGTCGTTTAGTCATGTCCGACTCTTCATGACCCCATGGACCAGAGCACGCCAGGCACTCCTGTCTTCTACTGCCTCCCGCAGTTTGGTCAGACTCATGTTTGTAGCTTCGAGAACACTGTCCAACCATCTCGTCCTCTGTCATCCCCTTCTCCTTGTGCCCTCAATCTTTCCCAACATCAGGGTCTTTTCCAGAGCGCTTAGATTCCTGCATTGCAGGGGGTTGATCTAGAGCTTCATGGTCCCTTCTAATTCTACAATTCTATGTTTCTATCATTGTATTATTATTTTAAAACCCTGCTGTCCCATCCTGTGAAAAGACCTTGGGGTTACTAGGTTTCTGCATCTCACCAGGAACACAAGAATGATAGCAAGGCCTGGCATTGTGTTCCAATATGGACTTCAAGATACGTCTTTCAAAACTTATCCTTGGCAATAGAGCACAGTTCACTGTTCACAAAAATTGCTTCATTTCCAGATTTCGTCTGGATCATTTTGAGAGGCTTAAGTTCTCTATTAATGACTAAATATGAAGTGCCAAGTGGGCCATCTGTCCCCGATCACCTGAGCTCTGCCATACCCCATCCCTTCACTTTATTTCTCTGTATTTGATTCCCATGTGTATAGTGACTGGAAACTGATTATCTGAGCTGGCTGCATTGGAGGTGATATGAGCATTTTATCTGTGGTGTCATCTGTGGGGGCATAGTTTGGGGGGCTGCCAGGGTGATGGCTCTGAGTGCTGCTCACACTGCCCTCCCTGAGCTAGCCCTGCACCGCTTTGTGAGGGATCTGGTCAGATTACATGTACAGTGGTGCCCCGCAAGACGAATGCCTCGCAAGACGGAAAACCCGCTAGACGAAAGGGTTTTCCGTTTTTCAATGCGCTTCGCAGGACGAATTTCCCTATGGGCTTGCTTCGCAAGACGAAAATGTCTTGCGAGTCTTGAGATTTTTTTCCGCTCCCCCCCTTTTTCTAAGCCGCTAAGCCTTTAATAGCCGTTTAGCAGCTAAGCCGCTAAGCCTTTAATAGCCGCTAAACCGCTAATAGCACTAAGCCGCTAAGCCGCTAATAGGGTTGCTTCGCAAGACGAAAAAACCGCTAGACGAAGATACTCACGGAACGGATTAATTTCGTCTTGCAAGGCACCACTGTACAGTGGTACCTTGGGTTACATACGCTTCAGGTTACAGACTCCGCTAACCCAGAAATAGTGCTTCAGGTTAAGAATTTTGCTTCAGGATGAGAACAGAAATCGTGCTCCGGCGGCGCAGCAGCAGCAGGAGGCCCCATTAGCTAAAGTGGTACTGCAGGTTAAGAACAGTTTCAGGTTAAGTACGGACCTCCGGAACGAATTAAGTACTTAACCCGAGGTACCACTGTAAATGTAAATGAAGACAAGGAGTGTCTGCCCTTTGTGAGCAGGGCAATGTGGTATGACTTTTGTAGCAGCCCCTTGTTAATGATGTTATCTGATGAGTAAGATTCTTTACTTCTGGTTATGATGATACATCTGCTCAGTGTGCATTTATTTCATAGTCCTTTAGCTTTTTTAAAAATATAAAAGAACAGCGGATGAAGCATGTGGTTTATAATACTTCCATTAATTACATGCAGATGCAGTTCAGAAGGGTCAATGGCCTATAAGTGGATTCTGTTACTTATCACTACTTAATGGCAAGAAGGCCAGTAGAGATGATGCTGGTATCTGATAAAGTAAACAATGCCTATTTTTATATATTATTATATTTAGGGTAGGGATGGACAGATTTCCATTTTTCCATTAATGTTTTGCTGTTTTCAATTTAAATTCACTTCAGTTTCAATAATGCAGATTGTTTTGAACTCTTCAGGTATAAAGTCACTAACTTTTATATAGCCATTCACAGTTATATATATATCTGTGCAAACCTTGTGCTATAATTAGCATAGCTCTATACGTGCATATATTTTCACCTTTATATATTCTGGCCTCTTGCTAAATTGGCTTCCACTTGGTTTATCTAACTGACTTCTCCTCTCCTACTTCGCCTTTTTTTTTGGCATGAACTCCCTTAAATAATTTTCGCCATTTCTCACTTGTTCTTCCTGCCTGCCTGGCCAGCCAGTGTCTCTGTTTTATCTATGGTGTTAACCTGATCATTGACAATCTAACTTATGCACTGAAAATATACTTTCTTTTCACATTCACATGCACATATTTTTTGGATAATATACAATTGTGGGGTCCCACTTACACAAGCAGAACTTATGATTCCACACACCTTCCATTCCTCCATCTTTTGATTTCTCTAGATCACTACAATAGTAGCTACCCATTTGGAGCATTAGGAAGACTGTTCGTCCCTTCTCGGGTGGGCGGCCTCCTCTGTGAACTGGCCTATTGCAGGCCAGATTGTCTTCCTGCTGCCAAATTGGCCAACAGTGGCAGGAATTAGAGGGCATTCACCTGGGCGCAGAACCAACTGAACAATTGTGGTGCATTGTCCTGTACCCAGTGGAAGGCTAAATCTCAGGCGGAAGGGGGGGGGGCTTGTCGCACCAGTTCTCCCACCCACCCTCCCTCAGATTAGGATTTAGCTCATGGTACGACCTTGCTATGGACAATGTTGGTTGCCAATTTTTGAGTCTGGGCAGGAATTTTCCCCATCTGGCAAATTGGTGCCGCCATTTGGGTTTCTGCCTACTTCAAAGCAATCGTCACAACTTTGTAAGGCGTATAAGCATTGGGTAAGCCTAGTCTTGGTTGGAGGGGAGGTTGTAGCCTCTGCCTGCCCCTCCACAGTTAAGAGTATCCTGTTAAAAAGATCCGGGAGGAGTGGCTCCTGTTCGATGCCCAGATGGGGGCTAGGGCCATACCACTCCTCCAACAGGACCGCTTGGGGGATGCCCCGATTTGACGTAGGACATAGGGCATCCCCACCACCACCACTGGCTTCCTCCTTAGAAACACTCCCAGCGGACGGGCAGGAGTGACATACGGCATTGCTTACCACAATGCCTATGGCCAAACCTTCACTTCTGGAACCAATAAACTTGTGGCCTTATTTGATCCCAAACCAATATGCTGTGTGTTGTCTAGTTATTTACTCCCTAGGCAACAGGGTGGTCATGGGGCCTTGCTACGCTTTTGGATCAGCATGAGTCAGCTGTGCTTTCTCCCACCAATACAGAAATTCTGGCCTGGTGACAACAGGTGTAGGTATGACTACATTGATATATTCTAGTCATTTGATTCCTTTCTTTGCAACATCTTAATGCTCTGTCATTTGTCTCCTGACTTAGGTGCAGAGTTCCTTTTTTTCATGGGGGTGGGGTGTTCTTCAATGAATCGTCTCCAACTTCATCTGCTTTTACCATGGGCATGCCACTGAGAGTACAAATGGATTAGTGCAGTCACACCCCATTGAGATTTTGGGAGATTTCACCTCTATTTGATACAGTTCATCTTGAAGTGCTGGTGTTTTTTATTTAAATAAACTAAAATAGAAGGTTCAAAGATTGCATGAAAGTTTCTCAAAGAGGACTCCAGATACATCCACAATATCCTTGGTATTATTAAATATGTCTGTTTATGAGGCTAACTTTAAAATAAATAAACCTGATAGACTAAATCAGTTAATGTGAGCACAAAGTTCTGTATATCAAAATTAGGCAGAACACAGAAAAAATTACATGATTTTGGAAAATTCTAGGCAACACTAAAACAGATTTTGGACAAAAACCTCTTTCAGCTCTACTTGAAAATGAAACAAGGGAAGTTTTATTCATAACTCTTAAGGTACTAAACACTTTTTCTACCACTATTTTGATGTGCAAAGTTCATGTGCATGTTGTTCCTTCCCTGCATAAAGAAGTCTCAAAGTCCTTGACTTACAGTTGCTAATATTGATACCATTGGTTGTAATCATGACTCAGTTGCAGTACAGAAAAAAGTGACATGTGGTATAAAAGCAATAATTTGATCACTGTCTACCTACAAATAGTAATGTCCGGAAATATCATGTACATTGCAGACATCTTAGTGTGTATTAATTTGCAAGCCCTACAGGGGACAGTCTCTTTATTCATACATAAGAGCAGATGCAGTAGCATATGGCTTATCTGCTCATATCTATGGTAATTCAATGTAGATCAGATTTTAATAAGGTAACATTAGTTTGTGCTTTTAAAAAATATCACAGCCTCTTTTAAAAGCGACAGAGCCTAACTTTCATTCTGGCAAAATAATGAAAGAAAAGGCCACTTCTGCATCTGTTAGCCATTGTTTCCACACAAAATTTATGATCATCTACTGTAGTGACAAGATCCTTACCTGTGTTAAATGTTTTCCACTTCTTGTCTTTATGACAGATGTCATTTTGGTACTCAGTAAATTGCCATATCTATTTTAAACTGCCAGGTTTTATCCAGCTTCTAACGAGTTGTGGGATTATTGTCTTGCTCACATGAACCACTTGGCTTCTCTGTTGGATAAAGTCAGATTTGTCAACTTTTCCCAGCACTCTTATCTGTTGTATTTGTCCAGAATTATCACAGTTGACAACTCCATACTGCACTACACAATACAGTTGATGTTGAAGCAGTATCAGCTTCATATCCTCTTCTAATTAATATCAGCATCTGCTCCTCCCATCTTGGTTCCAAATGGCTCAGATAAAATAAATCATTCTGCATGAGAAAAAGAAGTATTATTTCCACATTCATTCTGAAGTTTGGGTCTCATCATACTCCTGAATAGATCACCAGCAGCACAATTGGACCCTAGCATCCCTTCCCTCCTTGTGAGTTCCTTCCTTCCTTCCTTCCTTCCTTCCTTCCTTCCTTCCTTCCTTCCCTCCCCCAAAATGTACCTGGCAGTGGAAGTGGCAGCAGGAGGGGCAAAACTCATTATGAGGATTGCTGGCACCAGGACCTTCATTATGCTTGGGAATGCTGTCAAAACAGTGTTCCAGGCACCTGGTGCCCTGGGAAATGTGCTGCTTCTGGGGAAGAATGGAAAGTTGCTGACTGCAACTCCTGTTCTAGGGAGAGGTGGCTGATGAGCCCATCATGAGCTGGAACTGAGCTTCAGAGTGGGTTGGACTCGGCTCATAACAGACTCAGAAATTTTGAATTGGAGGAATTGATTCCCGAACCATTTATTTACTACTAACAATTGCTGGATGTTAAGGGTATGCACCTTGGAAGCTCAGTCAAGTGGCTAAGCGCATCACAGAAAACAGCTGTTTAGCAGGGTTGTCTTTACTATGCCAACACCAATTTACACCACTATACAGATGTTACAAGTAGTCTTTGCTCTCTGAGACAAGTCCACCATCAAGTCCTAAGTTCAGTTTCTTGCAAAGTCCTGCAACTCTTCACAAAGTCTTCAGCCCTGACCACAGTTCTAGTTCTTCTTCTTCAAACTGATCCACACTGTTTCAGACAATTTCTCCTACTATTGGACCACCCTGAATGCTGTAACCTGAGCCCCTTATCTACCCAGATTTTCATGCCAGTTCTGCCCGGCAACTGTGATCTGACAGTCACAAGATGCCTGCAGTTGCACTGTGGAAAATGAGTCATCTCTGCTGACTCATGGAGAATTATTCTTTGCCAACCATTGGGAGCAGAAGGGATGGGTAACTTACAACTGGAGGAGGTACGATTTCTCCACAATATCTTGCTCCCTGGACAGTGCAATCCCTTATATTCCTATACAGGACTAATACCCATTAAGATCAATGTGATTTACTCCTAAGTAAGTGTGGATTGCTTTAAAGCCTTCAACATTTATACTGACAAATTTAAGGGAAGGAACTGTACTCCATATATCTTGTTGACTTTACACCTGAGCGTATCAGAATGCAAATACTAGTGTGTTGTAGCATGCCATACTTCTGTACACATTCAGTGTCCTGGTTATGGTTAAGCAAAGTTTTTTAAAAAAGGTTAATAATAAAACAACTGGAGGCTTATTGGCTGGAGTTGCATGCAGCAGGATCCCAGCATTCCATTACTCCACTAGTTGTATCCAATGATAGCACTGATGACATATAACCTTTGTTGCCCGTTTTAGGATATGGTTGCATAATTTAAAATGCATGGGGTTAATACTTTAGGGAGTGTTTATAAAATAACTGCTGGCATTAGGGGGTCAAGCATCCAGGTTATAGTTTCCAGATCAAGTTTCTCTATGTGAAAGAGCCACAAAGAACACATTCTCCTCATTGAGTGGGCAGTGGGCGCCAGACTCAAACCGATTCAATATTCTGGGGTGCAGAGGAGATGCTACTGAAAGCACAGATGTAATAGATTGGCTTTGTAGCATTCTGCTGTTATTGCTTAATAGAAGTGTTTAACTCATTGCTATGTAAAGCACTTTCCAATGTCTTGCCTGTAAAAGAGCATTATACAAAACAAATTTCTATTCTATTGGCTAATCTAGCCCATCATCTCCTGTGCTCTGTAATGATACACATGTTCTGAATAATATTTTCTTAGCAGCACAAGATTCTACCATTAGAATCTCATTGCAAGAGGAGGAAGAGCAATTTGATGGGGGGAAATGTTCAAAATACTAAATATGCATACGGGCAACCGATTACAAAGTGGTGCACCAGAAAGAGGCAGAGAACATTGATGACATTTTGCTATCTAATCCCCTAGGAAGCTAAACCAATATGCCCAAACTGTTTCATGGTTGCTAAATGCAACAGAATATGAAATAGGCAAGGGGAGGCAAGAGTATTAGAAATCTATAATGAACCAGGTACCTCGAGTGGTCAATAAATTACACTTCCTCCCTTACCCTGAGCTTTATATCTCTGCTTCCTTAAAGAGTGGGACAGGCTAGAAAATTCATAATCTGTCCAAATTGAAGCAACTGTTTGTGTCATCAGCAGCAGAGAGATATCAGGTTGTATATCTTCACTTGACAAGAGGTGGCAATTTAATCTGACAAGTTTCCTGCCAATGAGGACAGCTTTAGGAGTTCAACTGCCGTGGTAAAGATTTGACATGTCATTGAGCGATGTTGTGCAGAAGCTTGACAATAAACTGGAACTTGCTAATGCAGTTTAGGATTGCTGTAAAAATTTATTAGAAACCAGAGACTGTAAAATTACTATACTCCTCAAGAACTGTTTTCTTTGCCTTGCTGAATATTTAACGTACAGCACATGTTTAAAACCTTGTTTTCTCGTGGACTAAAAAGTCTATTATAATGCATGCAAAATTGCAAGAAATTCAATTAAATACCTGAGAGGATAATAGTGCCTTCCCATTCCTGATTTGCGGCCACAAGAATAGGATCAAACCCCCTTGTATTAGTAGGACACAATGCTATATTGACAGGATGGGAGGAAGAGAAAAGAAAAACCATGGCAATAATAATAATAATAATAATAATAATAATAATAATAATAATAATATCCTGCCTATCTGGCTAGGTAGCCCCAGCCACTCGGAGCGGCTTCCAGCACATATAAAAACAATAAAGCTTCAAACATTAAAAACAGGGCTGCCTTCAGATTTTCAATACTATTGTAATGGTGGGAAGTTATGACTTGTGCAACTGTTATGTCAAAGGCAACTTTCCTGCACCTTTTATCACCACAATGGAGGGCGGGATGCTGCTCACTAACTCAGAGACCAATCACAGAATGACACCAGATCCCTCAGAGAGCACAGTGGTTGTTGGTAGTGATTGAAGCAACAGTTCTTTCCATCACAGCCCTGAGAAAAGGGTGCTGCTGGTTTTATATGGGTTACCAGGGACTGATCTGAGAAAGCCCTGAAGATGTGGCTATGGGTGGTTTCTGACCTAAAAGCACAACAGACTTCCCCTGAGTTTTGGGTACATTGTATATAAGTGTAGATGTGGAGAGCGTAAAGTGTCATCATCGTGGCATTTTCTCAATGCTACATGTTGATTGATCCTTCTATATTAACTTTTATTTCTACAGCTATTGCTATGGTTTGGTTTTTGTCAGTGTGCAGGATTGTAATTCTGTAATGTTGTTGGTTCTGCTGTAGATAGGCAGAACATGATGGACCCACAGTAATTCCCTGTGTAAGGAGGGGGAAGATGCTGTCAATTATGAGGATGATATAATTAATTATTACAATTTATTACCGTCCCTTCACCCCAAGGTTCCAGGAGCTTTCAGCGGTACAGGCATTTGTGCGAATTACTGGACTTCCTCTGTCTCTGTATAAAAGTGTGATTGGTAGGTGGGACCAATGGTTGAATCAATTTCATGCTCCTGTTGAGTCTCAGATCTCGGCTCCTGATCTTGCAGTCATTACCTCTGGTCTTGTCCCTCAGCCTTGAAGTTCCTCTCCTAACCGGGTTTGGTTTTTTCTGCATCACTGGCACCTAAGGGCATCTGAACTAGTTCCTGCTTTTCTCCTATTGCTGAGCTTGTACTGACTGTCTATGTACTAGAATAAAGCTGGACTTCTTTACTCCCAAGAAAGGGCCCCTATCATTGATATGGGGTGGGATCCAGTACACTGATTAAGATACTGCAAGTAGTCTATCACCAACATCCCACATTTTCCCAGCATTGTAGTGCAAATAATCTTCATCCACTTGTAAGTCAGTTTGGAAATGTTGCAATCTTTTCATTTTGAACAATTAAAGCTGCAATCCTATGCACATTTGCTTAAGGATAAGGATAAGCATATTAGGCAGTGTGGACTGTGCAAATTGGGAGTTGGGTAGGGATTTGGGGGGGGGTCCTCAATTGGTCTTCTGGTTCACATTGTTATTATTAATTAATTTTCTATACCGTCCTTCATCCAAAGGTCACGGGGTAGTTTACAATACAAAAACACAAAAATACATACCATAATAACACACAGATAGAGACACCGAGTAAGAGAGAGAGTTTAAAAGGCCATCGATTTTTAAATTATGCAAAGGCTAATAAACCTACTCCATACTGTCCCTTATGTGATTGGTTTAAAGTGGATTTGGGCCTCATTGTTTGGCTGTTTCATTTTATTCCAATTGGTTTTTGGCGTGAGCAAGTAAATGGATTAAAATGAATACCAATGGCCTGCACCCTGAGGCATTCCTGGATGAAGGGCAGTTCCCTAAGCACATTCCATTCACAGCCATTTGGGAGGCTTTTTGCTTTGCTATTCTTGGGACCCTTATACATGGACCCCTGTACAGGGCAGTAGAAAACATTGCATCTCATTACAGACATATGGTGATGGGTCTCCACTGAAGTGCTTTTCCCCAGAATGGTGGGCATGAGGTTTCCGCTTCTCCAGTTACACAGGTTTCACATGCCCACACTAAATGGTTTGGTACAGTTTGCCACAGATCCCCACATTATCTTTGAACACATGTAACATTTGAGGTCTCTTGAGTCCTCATTTTTGATGTGCAGGCAATATCACCATGCAGGCAATGTACACCAGTTCAGGACAATCAGAAGTTACATGTCATAGTACTTAGCTCTATGTATAGGCCGAAGCCCTACTCTACAGAGGTCTTCATTTCTTATAAGTTTAGTAAGGTTTGGGCCAATAGAATACTATGATTCTAGCAAGCTTCCAAATCTTGCATAGAAACATAACCCCCACTGAGTTCTTTATCAGTAATTTGCCATTCTTGAGATGGCACTCTGTGTCAGTTGTGGACAAAATGAACAGCGCTGCCCTGTTCCCAGGGG